TTTATATTATACCTATTTAATGTTATAAATCTTTATATTTTTTATTTTTAATTAATTTTGAGATGCTTTGACTTTCGAGAAAGCTGGAATGACTTGTTTGGAACGGAGCGAGTACTTACATATACATACCGTGGCATCGAACCAACCACGACAAGAGTCATTGGCTTTATAGAGCAGCAGTACCATATACATGTGCATACATCGTCGCTCATGCATGCACGAGCATGATTCATAGGTTGGCACTATCAGCTCGCCGTGTCCATTTTTTGTTATACTCGTATATACAATATATTGTATATCGATCAACGGAGATCTACTCAGGTTTTATTTGCACGTATGTGTATTCACTTTAATCCATATGTATTGGAGTGGATTAGAATGGATCTTAGTTTAATTTCACTCAAATCCACTCTAACACATGTGAAATGAGATATCAACAACATACTAGAGATCTACTCAGATCTTGTTTGATACATGTATATACACTTTAATCCACGTATATTAAAGTGGATTAAAATAAAACCTAATTTAATTCCACTCCAACTCCAATCCACTCACGTGCGTGCATCTAAATAAGACGTAGCAGCAGCCAGCAGCTCTCGGATGCGTTGAATTGCGGAGAGAGCAGTACGGGTGAAAACACGGCCCGCACAGTCGCGCACGGGGAGCAGAAGAAACCCGAACCGTGGCTGCTCTCTTCTCTGTCCTCTTCCGATCCGCGCTCATGTTGTTGCGTCCCATCGAAGCCGCCATCCAATCCAAGGAACAGAACAAGAACATCCAGCTAGGCTAGGCGGCCAGCCGCACGTGGTCGCCGCTCCATCTCCGGGAGACGATTCGGCTCTGATCCAGCGAGCGCGGCCGACGACTTGTCTCCGACGCCGCGTGGGGTCCTCAGGACCACGAGTGTCCGTCATCTCACATTCTCACTTGCGGCGGCGTGGTGGTGTTGCAACAGAAAGGGGGGCCGGCCGCGTGGTTAAGCACCACGTACACATAGGTGTGATCGGATGTTGGCATAGAAATTGCATTGCATTAAGGGTCATGCAGCTATTCTTGCATAAATGAATGCAATTTGTTGTTGTTTGGTTTGCCTACATTACTCTATTGCATGGTTTATACATCTGTTTGGTTGAATATAGAGTGGTATCTTCCATATAGTATTCCGTGTTTGGTTGGACTAATACCATGAGATTGGAGTTGGCAATTCCTCGAACACCCTCACTACGTTCCACCATGAACACCACCGCAGAGCACACGCACCCGGAGAAACTAAGGATGCATTTAGTAGATTTTTGTAGAAATATTTCAGATTCAGATTCGCTCAAGAAAAATTTCGTACCAATATTTCAAATTCACGTTCTCTCGAGGAAACTTTTTAGCTAATAAATCAGCATCACTATGGCTCACTGCTATAATGCTTGCTACAATGACCTTGGAGCCGGAGCGCTCAAGAGCCATGCCAAATGACTCCTGATTTTTTGATGGTTTCAGGCCCCGTTCGCTGGTCTGAAATTTGGCTGAAAAACACTGTTCCGGCTGAATTGTTGTCAGAGAAAAACACTGTTCCGGCTGAAAAAAGAAGTCGAACAAGCCGAATATGGGGTAAGCCGAACAGGGCCATATATAGACATAGTTTCTTATATAAATATCCATTTTCTTCTCTCTTCTACTTAATTCCAATATCACATCAATATTTTGTTTAATGCTATAGAAATTAATACATTGCGATCACCCTTAGTGGTAGTAGAGGGAGTGATGTTGTTGTTATCGAAAGAAAAAGATAGGGGAGCGTGAGATCTTTTCCAAGACCCAAAAGAACATAAGCATGCAGGTGAAAGGTTGCAACCTGTAAGTTTACAAGTTGGGTGTAGATATGTATAAGCTTAAAGGTCTAGCTAGTCGCTAAGGATCTTAATCTATGGGCTATATTTTGAGTGTTAGTCGCCGTTGAGTGTTAGGGGTATGCCACGAGCATAAGCTTTTTCTTCCCTTTTTGCAGGCTAATTAAAAAACTTTTGAGTAGCAGTAGCGGGTTTATAGTCTGATTATGTTTGCTGACACATTTATATATATACAAAAGAATTGCATATATACAGCATGTTCGTTTCGGCCTATTCGCTCGTATCTGGCTTATAATCCACGGCTTGAACAATATTTTTCTCTTATACAAAACTAGCTAGCAGTACTTTCAGCCATGGCTTATAAGTCAATTCAGCCAAAACGAACATGTTGTAGTCGCCATGCGGCCAATTTGTTAAGAGATGACATCATTCTTTCCCTCTCTCACTGGGGTCCAAACTACTCCTTGGATTAATTAGCCTTCTCGAGAGAATGCTAGTGTGATGCTTCTAAAAGTGATGAGCAATAAAGTGTGATCGCGACATTATCTATCTATCTTTTTTTTATCTCACCGCTTCACAAGGCATCAATTGCTTTTGGAGAGGCCAGGACTTTATTAATGAAGTTTTCTTTGTCAAAAAACAAGGAGTTATGCGGCTATGAATGGATGCCCTGCACAAGAGAACCTACTTACAAAATGGGTATATAATAATAGCATCGTGTGATAACTTCGGTCCTACTTACAAAATGGGTATATAATAATAGCATCGTGTGATAACTTCGGTCTGTTCGCTTGTTGTAAACGATCATAAATATTTAGCTAGATTAGTATTTTTCTCTCACACCAAATTAGTCAGCAGTAATAATCCACGATCGTATACGATCGTTTCAGCCCCAACCGAACAGGCTGTTAGTACCTCCTCTAAGGCCTGCTTGATCCCTAGTTTTAAGAATTTGATTTTTAAAAACTGAGTGGGATCTAAATAGGCCAGTTTTTAGGTCAGTTTTTGCCAGAATCTTAAAAACTAAGAAGCTGTTAATAGCTGGCTTTTACCAATTTCTTGTGACCCACGTAGCTATAAATGATGTCAGATTCTTAAAAACTAGGATCCAAACACCCTTACCATTTCTTGTGTCGGCTGAGGCTTGCTGCTGCAGCGAGCTGTTCCGATCACCCTATTCACTTGATCATATCAGCCATGCTTATCAGGCATAATACAATATTTTTCTCTCATAACAAAACAGCATGAACCGGGTTATAAGCCGTATAAACGATCAAACGAACGGACTACGCAGAACGCATGACTGGAATAACTTGCCGTCGTTCCAGTGTTTCAGCCTGGTTGCCTCAACGGCTGAACCAAACCAAACCAACCAACCACGCGTCCAGGCCAGGGCAGCAACTTCCTAGCAACGGCACAGGCAGGCATGCCATGCGAAGCCACCTGGAAGAAGATTTCGTCTTCTACCTGCCCCGTCAGGGGAGAGGAAGAAGGAAAGATGCTCAAGTCATTTTTCTGATAGCAAGGTTTCTTTCTAGATTGATCAATGGGTACACGAACATGTCCAGATCGATCATTTCAGAAGTTTCTCCCCCAGTTGTGCACGTCTGTTGTAAATCTAGATGATCTGAGCATACATCCACACCCTCGACTAACCGAGCTAGTTCAACTTCTTTTCCTCTCCCTAATTTCTACGCTAAAGAACAATTCAAATTCAAGGTTGCTTTTCACGGTAGCTTGAAAGATGATTGGCTCAAAGTCCTTTAACAGGTTAGCATATACTGTGGTCATAGAAACTAAAATTTTCTGTTGTCGTAGTGTTGATCAGTTGATACTGTAGTGCATTATTGTTTCTTTCCTTTTCAATCCAAGGGGGTGTCACCATCAATATGCAGTTATAAGGAAAAAAAACCTCGCTAAATTTTTCTACGCGCTTTCTATTTTATGAGCTCACGATAGTTGAATATGTTGTTGGAAACTCTAGAAGTCAACATCGATGGAGAAAAAATAATGTTATAGAGCATTTTACTCTAGACTTCATAAGTAGATTCCAAATGACAATAAACAAAGGCTGTTCATGTTTATAATTCTTTATTTCTGTTGGGATAATGATGGACACCTAGGTTAACTCTTTATAAAAAGAATCCTCACTGACATTGATATTATCCGAAACCCTTTCAAAGCCACCGCCCTGGACATAGGTGGCTCCATGTTCTTTTTATATTGGAGAGTGGATCAACGTGTCAATGACAGGATTGCAAAAGTTTCCAATAATATATGCAAGTTTACTATTTAGCAAAGATATTGAACTTTGATACGATGCATATTATTGTATATACAATATACATTCCTATCATATATCCAAATAAATAATTCGATCTTAAAAAGATGGATCGATTTTCCAATCCATGATTTCATCATTTAGCAGCCCTCTTGACTCTTGAGAATAAATTGGAGTATTATTGAGAACAAAACCAACGCCTTGTTTAGTTCCACCTCAACTTCTAAAAAGTTACTACAGTACCTGTCACATCGAATGTTTGTGGCCCGTGTATGGAACATTAAATGTAGACGAAAAGAAAAACTAATTGCACAGTTTGGTGAGAAATTGCGAGACGAACGTTTTGAGCCTAATTAGTCCATGTTTGAACACTATTTACTAAATAAAAACGAAAGTGCTACAGTAACCCCAAAATCCAAATTTCACGAACTAAACGAGGGCCAAACCCATCACTTTGGTCAAAGGCAGCAAAGAAAGGCGACCAGAACAGGGAGCGGCCATGCCAAAGAACGAAGAAAAGGAGTCCACAACTATAAAAGAGGCGGAACGAAGCCGAATGGAGGGAGAGAGGCGCCGGGCGCGTACACAGCAGCCCCCGCCCACGCGTAATCCTTTCCCCTCCCTTTCACACTTACCCCTCTCAACTCCCAACCCCTTTACAAATTCGGGCCTCGGGGAGGTGTTATATACTCTGCGCCGTAGAATTAGCGCCTCTTCCGAGGGGCTCGCCGCGAAAAGGAGCCGCCCCAAATTTTTGCTACGGCCACACGAGCAGCCGCCGCGCCAAGACGCGCTCGCTCCTGCTCCCCGCGTCTGGCTGGTGTCGGGGACCGGCCCCCCCTCCTGCCCGGCGCCCGCTGCGGCTGGCTCCCCCGATGAGGCCGCCGGAGGTGGCGGTGGCGGTGGCGGCGCTTCTTCTCGTGGCGGCTGCGGCCGCGACCGCGGCGGAGTCGGCAGCGCCGTTACCGGCGGCGCTGCGGCTGGAGCGCGCGGTGCCGCGCAAGGGGGTGGCCCTAGAGGAACTCAGGCGGCGGGACGCCGCGCGGCACCGTGTTTCGAGGAGGAGGCTGCTCGGGGCCGTAGCCGGCGTGGTGGACTTCCCCGTCGAGGGCTCCGCCAACCCGTACATGGTCGGGTGGGTGAGCTGCTGCCTCCGCTTTTCCTCTCTATTGTCTGGTGGTGGTTTAGGTTCGGTTGGGATTGGGTCGGCTGTTTGCGATTCGTGGAAGCGTGGGAAATTCGAGCCTTTTTCGGTTTTTTTTTTTGTTGGTTCGGGCGGTGAGCCAACAGGCAGTTCGTCGGCTAGGCTGCTTGTGTCCATTCCTTTTCCCAGTTGATGAATGGCCGATGCTGATTCGATTGTTTATGCTGTTAACTCGGTGGCTTTTTTCTGGTGGATTTCGCGTGCATTCTACCAAATTCGTTGAGTTATTTTTTTTTCTTTCTTCTTGTTGTTTGTGGATGTTTTTTTGCGAGTTTAGTTCAGTTTCGCTTCAGTCTGTAGATTCGTTCGTTTCATTCCAATCATGCAGCTATGTTAAAAATGAGATCTTGCGTGGTGCCTCATTGCTCTACTCGTGTCATTCCGGTTCTTACTGAGTAGCCTCATCCTAATTGATTCACTTGTTAGTGAAATCCTGTACGAAGAGGACTCATTGCGTTGTGAGGACTTTCTAGCTTTGTAGAATCGGTTCCAGAGTCTAGAGTCCGTTCAAGGCAATCCTTAATTTATTTCATTTCCCCTCCTTTGCTTTTGCCTAGGGTCAAATCCTTCGTCGGGAAACAAATAGATTTCCTAAGATGGCAACTTAGGATTTCTCCCTTCTGTTACGTTTCTATCCTATTTCTTGAACGATCAATTTCAGAGTTTCAGAGTAGGAAGAAGTTTGTGGAGCAAAATCGAGCAAGCTGTAGAAACAGGGTTGTTTGCAGTGTATAGGTAGCCATTAATCATAGTGACATAGACGGCTAGCGCTCGGTGCCAGGGCATCTTTCTGGTTTCCATCTACAAGATTTAGGAGTAGTAAATTTATTTTCTTGCATGTATTTTTGGCAATGTTTGTGGTGTGCATATGTTTAGACCACTCCCCTAATAGTAAATTCCTGACTTTAGTTCAAATAGTAGATAACACCTTATTGAAGTCATCATTGAATGTTGCGATCCACGATTGTCACACAAGCATGCTATTCCTTTCTATCCTCAATTTGGTTAGGATACACATCTCAATCTGTTACCCAACACATACTGCTGTGCTGGTGATTGATCAGCGAACTGTAGTATTATCATTTCACCAATTCATTCTAATTTTCATTCTGCAACTGGGCTTGTTGGTATTTGATATAACAGGGATACATTTTTCTTCTGTCTTTTATTTAACATGGTCTAGTTGCCTATTTGTTTGGTAATAAAGTTTGAATTTGAGTTTGCAGGCTTTATTTTACCCGGGTGAAATTAGGAAACCCGGCAAAGGAATTCTTCGTCCAGATTGACACTGGGAGTGATATATTGTGGGTAACTTGCAGTCCTTGCACTGGCTGCCCAACATCAAGTGGACTCAATGTGAGGCCAGCTTCTTATTTTTGAATTTTAACAAATGCATAAATTTTCACCTATTGTTACTTGTTAGTCAGGGAACTACTTCTGATCGAATGGTTACTATTTTTGTTCCTCAGATCCAGCTAGAGTCCTTCAGCCCTGACTCTTCATCAACATCATCCAGAATAACATGCTCTGATGATAGATGTACAGCTGCCCTCCAAACAGGGGAAGCAATCTGCCAAACCTCAGATTCCCCAAGCAGCCCTTGTGGGTACACTTTCACCTATGGTGATGGGAGTGGCACATCAGGGTACTATGTGTCTGACACGATGTTTTTCGAAACTGTCATGGGAAATGAGCAGACCGCCAATTCGTCTGCCTCTATTGTTTTCGGGTACAGTTTCCTTGGAGTCCTATATCATTTTAAATAATTGAAAGTACCTGATGTTATTTTACTCAAGTTGCCACTGAAGTTGAAAATATTTTCTTGTTCTGTTAGTCATTAGTCAGCTTCAAGTCTAGCTATGTTGCTCGATTGCAATTTTATTGACTCATTATCCTAACTCTGATTTTTTTTCTACCAAGATTCTCAGTAGAATATTATTTATGAGCTCATGAATGTTTCAATTTCTTCCAAGCAGATGTAGCAACTCACAGTCAGGAGACCTGACAAAGGCAGATAGGGCAGTTGATGGAATTTTTGGGTTCGGACAGCATCAACTGTCTGTAGTTTCACAACTGAACTCTCTTGGGGTGTCCCCTAAGGTGTTCTCTCATTGCCTGAAAGGTTCAGATAATGGTGGTGGCATTCTTGTGCTTGGTGAAATTGTGGAGCCAGGATTAGTGTATACTCCACTTGTTCCATCACAGTAAGTTTCTTCCCCTGAAATTACTTTGGGTGTAAAATTTCACAAATCTGCATGCTATCTTATGTTTCAGTAGCCATTCTACTGTTTCTACCCCTGTTTTGAAGCGCATTTGTGATTTTGCCCTCGTTTTTTTAACTTTGTGGTTTTACCCCTGCGATTTTTAAACGAAGGAAGACTTTACCCCTGGTCTGTGAAGTCCCTTTAACGGTGTTAACTTTTGGACAAAAGGACAACTTTGCCCATGCGTTTTTACCCCTATTTTATTATGTTATTTGTGTTTTTACCCCTATTTTCATACAACAAGTTGACATTTTTTATACAGAATTTTTAGAAAAATTCGACAACATTTGAGCTGACAATCCACATAAACACAATTTAATATCACACAACTAGTACATATAAACCAGATCCATGTAACATGTCATCATAGTACCATAATAGAAGCCAACATACAGGTCCAAATGACATGTCAAACACTAATATATAGGTCTAAATGACATGTCAAGCAAAAGTAGGAGCTACTAGTGAGTTCTCTAGGCAACTAGTAGTGAGCTACATATCAAGCATCGAAACCTAACAAAGTAGCAAGCCTCCCAGAAGTTGCTCCTCTTCCCCTTCCTGAAGCACTTGCACTTTATATGAAAAAAGAGAAGAATTATGTTAGTAAAGTTACTAAAATATGTAGTAAAGAGAAGCACTTGCACTTGCAGGGTCTTAGGATTGATTTCATCCCATGACATAAATAGCAGTGACTACAGATGCAAATGAGCCTTCTGAAGTGTTCAGGGCTGACATTTTGGCCACTTTGCTTATCAAGTATCAAGGACAGAAGCCCACATAACATAAGTACTTAAAGCTGTGCCTTGAACTCACTATCCACTAATCATCCACACAAGAGATAGTTCAGTTGACAACAAATTGGTAACTGGGTCATACCTCTTTCTTACCTTTATTTTTTTTCCGACATCATTGGATTAAGATGACCCAAACTACATGCCTGAGCCTGGCTCAAGTGCTTTCTAGTTCCTACGCCGATTCATTGCAACCAAAAGTGTATAATTATCGACAAGGAAGTGGCCCAACAAACTAGCCGCGCCTCTTCTATAAAGGGCGTACCCAGTGCAGAGAGCTCCCGCTTTGTGCGGGGTCTAGGGAAGGGTGTTAGTGGCAAGCCTTACCCTCGCCTGTGCAATGCGAGGAGACCGCGACTCGAACCCGGGACCTTCCGGTCACAGGCGGTAAGACTCTACCGCTTGCACCAGGCCCGCCCTTCAAGTGTAAAAATGTAAAAAGATAAAAATAATATATAAACAATCGGAGACCACTTTAAACTAGTGGTCTAGTGTAGTTCTGGAGCCTCATGCTCATGTATTCCTGATACTAACCGCTGCTTGTGCCAATTTTTGAAATGAAATATAGGCCTCATTACAACTTGAATCTGGAAAGCATTTCTGTCAATGGTCAAAAGCTGTCCATTGATTCCTCCTTGTTTACAACATCAAATACACAAGGAACAATCGTGGATTCAGGAACAACATTGGCATACCTTGCAGATGGAGCCTACGATCCATTTGTTAGTGCGGTGAGTTTCATATGGTACACAATCTTTTCCTTATAATGGCCATATACGGTGAGTCTACATTTCTTACTAATTCTGTGTTGTAACCGTCTGTATTCATACCTGCAGATAGCTGCTGCAGTCTCTCCATCTGTACGTTCTCTAGTCAGCAAAGGAAGCCAATGTTTTATCACTTCCAGCAGGTTTACTTTCTTTCTGGAACCAAATTAACTGCTGTTGTCCTTTGAGGTCCTGGGTTCCTTATAAATGTTCTTACCATTTGGCAGTGTTGACTCATCGTTTCCAACCGTAACCCTTTATTTTATGGGTGGTGTTGCGATGTCGGTGAAGCCAGAGAACTATCTTTTGCAGCAGGGTTCTGTTGTAAGTCGTTGTATATCTGGGTTAATTGTTTCTTGGAGAGGCTGTGTCAAATGCTATAATATCATGTCAATCATGGTTGCAGGACAACAATGTATTGTGGTGCATTGGTTGGCAAAGGAACCAGGGCCAAGAAATAACTATACTTGGAGGTTAGCCAGTCTAACTCTGGACACAGTTAACCAATTTAGATTGCGCATCTAGCTATAAGATTTCAGGCTGCTGTTAAATGATATGGTTTTATGAAATAAATCAAGCACAAGCATTAAGGTCTAGGATATAAGTTTGACCGTCACACTGATAGCCAAATACTACTTATGTGCATAAATGCCCAAGCACATAATACCTCTGGAGTCTCATTGTTTTCTCACCGGTGCTATATATATGTAACACCTCTCTGAAGCCTGACTGTTTTCTGTTTGGTGTTAACTATGTGGTCCCTCTTGTCTCAGATCTTGTTTTAAAGGATAAGATATTCGTGTATGACTTGGCGAACATGCGCATGGGCTGGGCGGACTACGATTGTAAGCCCTGATTCTTCTTAACCAATCTGGCTGTTCCTTAGTTCTTCATTTCCTTGTGGCTAACACTATTGGCCCCATTTCTTTGTGACTGACACTATCTCTTGGCAGGTTCAATGTCGGTGAATGTCACCACATCATCAGGGAAGAACCAGTACGTGAACACTGGGCAGTTCGACGTGAATGGCTCCGCACGACGTGCATCATACGAGAGCTTGATACCAGCTGGGATCGTCACCATGCTTGTTCATATGCTCATTTTCGGCAGCGGCTCACGTAGATAGCAGGCGAGCTAACTGACATCATGATTTGATTCTTTATTATTGCGTTGGTGTATTCAGAGCTGAGAGACGTGGTCGTCCCTGCTGCGCGTAGTCAGTTAGTCGTATGCACGAAGAGTTGCCATGACTTGAGCATTCTTACTGTACATACAGAAAATGAAAGGTCTATTGTTCATGTAGTACGGCCTCCTTTATCTCAAATTGCAGAGCCCCTTATTCTTTCGTCTCTGCTTGGTCGTGCTCTCAAATTTAATCTGCCATAAAATTTGGATGCTATTGTTACTCAAAACAGAGGGAACGACAGATCATGAAGTAAAAGCTGCCTGTTAGCTTAGCAACTGGATCCTGCTGGGTGTCACGATCAGTGGTGAAGTCAGGCCAAGATAGCAGAAAACAGATACGGTGGGGCTGTGTTCACAGATCCAAACTACTGTTTTTTGGAAGAAAAAAAAAAAGATACACCAAGCTATAGTTAGCTAAGAAAGAAGCAAAACAAAATACTCATTATGTTAAGTTATTATGATTTACCTTTATTTGTGTGGATGCATGCATTAAGAACTGTAATGTATCTTGCTAAATAGAGTCCCTAGTGAGGCAACTTCTAGGACTCCTTATGAACTATGGATACCAAGGACACCTAGCTTAAGACACATGTATATTGGGGGTTATCTAGCAGAAGCGGGATTATACAATCCATATGGAAAGAAGCTTGACGCAAGGACCATTAGTGAGATTATACAACCCGCATGAAAATAAGCTTGATGCAAGGACCATCATGGTTACTTCATTGGCTATCCTAACCATAGTTTGCGAATTCTTGAGACAGGAAATGCTCGGTTCATTGAGAATGGTGAGATCAATGGGAATGAGAATCCACGAAAGTGGATAGTGATGAAGTTAAATCCTATAATACTCTTAGCATAGTTGTATCACAGCCTAGCAACACTAATGTGTATTGCAAGTTAAAGTGAAAACCACAATAAAACATAGTACGACGGTCTGAAAGGCAGAGAAGACCTGTAATTTCTGATGACTACGTGGTTTATTCACTTAAGCATGACTTGAGTATGGAAAATGATTCTATCTCATCTAAGCAAACAACGTATTTTGAAATTTTTCAAAAGTGGTTTGATGCCATGAAAGAGGAGTTAAATGGATGGATGACATCAACAATGTCTACAAATTAGTTGAATTGCCTCAAGGTTCAAAACAAATCAAGCATGAATGGGTCTTTAAGACCAATCATGACTCAAAAAGGCAATTTTGAAATATACAAGCCAAACTAGCTTGTTGCCAAAGTTTTTACTCAGAAAGATGGTGTTGACTATACATAGACTTTTTCTCTTGTTTGTGAGAAGGATTTCTTGAGAATTATTTTAGCACTGATGGCATGTGATTTAGAATTCCATCAAATGGATGTAAAGTAAAGACCGGCTTCTTAAATGGTACGAAGTTGTCAAAGCTGGAAGCTTGGCATCTAAGACAAAAAGGATTCAAACGATGTCCACTACATTGTAATGGTTCGATTAAGTAAAAAGGGTAGCTCGAAAGAACACGGTAGAGAGAACCGTTGGTTCCTATTTACTGATTGCCAAAAGGTGGTAATCTGAACAATTTAGTCAAATAATTGGTTATTTGAAAGAAGACGGTAGTGAGAGGACAACCGACTCATGTTGACTGATCGCCAAAAGGTTGGCAATTTGAACAATTTGATCAAGTAATTGGCCATTTTCACTAAGTTGAGAAAGTTTATTATTATTATTTTGGAATAACGACATCTGTTTAAGTATTTTGCTATCTCTGTCCCCTAAAAGATGCAATCTTGAGTTTATATTGAGTCAAACATTTTAAATTTTAATAACTAAATTTTAAAACTATTAAGAATATTTATGACTCTAAATAGGTGTATTATGAAAATATATTTTATAATTAATTAAATAATACTTATTTGGCATTTAACATTTTTTATAGTTTTAATCAAATTAAAAATGTTTGACTTTTAAAAAACGAGAATTGGTCCTTTTAGAAATGGAGGGATTATTTTACTCTCTTCGTCCTAAAATAAATCATTACTAGAACAACTATAAATTAAACTATCTTAATTTTGACTGATTTTATAGAAAAATGTAATACCTATAAGATCAAATAAAAATATTATAAAATATATTTTATAGAATATTTACAAACTTCAAATATTGCATCAACCTTAGAATTTTAGTAATGGATAGGAAACCAAATCCGGATTTATCACGAACCCAATGTCGATGTGGCTTGCATTCTCGTGGTGAAAAGACGAAAAGGCGCGGCGTTTTCTTTACACTAAAATGTAATGCCCCCTCCCTGATTCGGTGATTCCTCCCTCCCTTCTCATTTCGGCATTTCTGCTTCCCGCGCTCTCCTCTCCTTCCTAGAAAACCCACAAAAATCCCTCCACATTCCTGGGTTCCACCATCTCAGCGGACTCCGGACTGGGATCAGAGAGGGAGGGAGGGAGAGAGGGAGGGAGGGAGAGAGAGAGAGTTGAGTGAGAGAGAGAGAGAGAGAGAGAGAGAGAGAGAGAGAGAGAGGCGAAGGGGAGGGGGCAGCGGCGGCGGCGATAATGGGGATCCAGGGGCTGCTGCCGCAGTTGAAGTCAATCATGTCGCCCATTAGCGCGGAGGAGCTGCGGGGCCAGACGGTGGCTGTTGACACGTACTCCTGGCTCCACAAGGGCGCTCTATCCTGCGGTGACCGCCTCTGCAAGGGCATCCCCACCACCAGGTCCCCCTTCCGCCGCCCCATTTCTTGGACCAATTCCCGCTCCGATACTGTAGGGTTTCTTGAGCCGTTCCTCCGGCCGCGGTTCACATGATGTGCGAATCGATGAAATGTGGTTCTTTCCGATTGATTTCACACCTGAGCCCTTTGACGTCGTGGCAGTCCTGGGAACGATTGCTTCGTGAGGGCAGGGGTTTTCTTGGTTTGATTCTGTTGTTCGGGTCCGGATTGGCGAAACACTTTTCGGGTGGAGAAACGAGTGTTTTGCTTACAATTCTTCAAGATTTTGCCCGTTTGTGAGGGGAGATTTGTTGTTTGCATTGCCTCAGGCATCGTGTAATAGAAATGTATTGCATTTTATTTGGTCATATCGTCGACCAATTTACTGAACTTATCGTCTGCCTTGGTGCCAAGGTTTCGAGCTTGTTTATGTTGGATGGAGGGATGTGTGGCTCTTGGCTTCCATCTGGTGCTGCTTTGTTACAATAACACAATGTTTCAATCTGGGAAAAGTTGGAAAAGTTAGCCCAAAACGTTTTATGTACAGAAGGAGTATCTGCAAACGCTAACGTCACAGCTGCCCCCTACCTCTGTTAACTAGCAGATATTATGGTACAGCTGTGGCCTATAGATATCTTAATATCAGAACTCTTCGATGAGATCTAAGAAGTCTTAGATGAAATAGTGGATCATATAGTTTAAGCACCAATTCTTTTAACATGTTTGGGGTTTACCATAACCTCACATGTCATGCTTTTCCCCTTGAAATTGAACCAGGCATATCGAATATTGCATGCATCGGGTTAACATGTTGCGGCATTTTGGTGTCAAACCAATTCTTGTATTTGATGGAGGCCTTCTGCCAATAAAGAGCTATCAAGAGACGAAGCGGTCAAGGTATGCTCTAGTTTGGGTTTCAGAAAGAGCCAACATGTTTCAACTGCCAATGAACATTTACATTACTCTTACACTATCTTAAGTGGATCTGTTAGGCCTTAAACTCTGCTTTGCTATCCTGATGCACTTTCTCATGTTTTGTAAGTTACCTGCTAAAAATGTCATCCTTCAGGTCAAGAAAGGAAAACCTTGAGCGTGCCAGGGAACATGAGGCTTCTGGGAACTCACGTGCTGCTTTTGAGTGCTATCAGAAAGCTGTTGACATTACACCTAGAATTGCTTCTGAACTGATTGAGGTACAGTTAAAATTCCTTGTAATGTTAACACCTAACAGTTACACCTAGTTAAAATATTTCTAACAGACTTGTTTAAATGCTTCTTAAAATATGCAATGCAGGTACTGAAGAAAGAAAAGGTTGATTATATTGTTGCACCTTATGAAGCAGATGCGCAAATGACATTCTTATCTGTTAATAAACTTGTTGATGCTGTGATCACTGAGGATTCAGATTTGATACCATTTGGTTGTTCTAGAGTAAGTACACTATTACAACCCTTTGCCCTGCGGCCTGCGCTACATCTTTCATAATCCTCCCATACTCAGCTAGATTTCCTTTCATAGCTTGTTATATGCCCTTTAATAATGTACACCTTTTCTTTAATGTGCAGATTATTTTCAAAATGGACAAATTTGGGCAAGGTGTTGAATTTCAGATTACACGACTAGAGCGAAATAGAGACCTTGACTTTAATGGATTCACAAGACAAATGTTACTCGAGATGTGTATTTTAAGTGGCTGTGACTATCTCCCCTCATTGCCAGGAATGGGCGTGAAACGAGCTCATGCACTCATCCAAAAGCTAAAGTGTCACGAGAAGGTAAACCCTATCTTCTGTGTGTCTGTTGCACATGCTACCATTGTGCCTAGTTAGAACTTAACAGATGGTGAAGGGAGTTTCAGCGACATGTATAACTGCAGGTGATCAAGCACCTGAGGTATGGTGCTGTTTCTGTTCCACCTCAATATGAAGAAGACTTCAAGAAGGCAATCTGGGCATTTAAGTTCCAAAGGGTCTATGATCCTGCTACAGAAGATATTATTCATTTGTCAAGTGTGCCTCATGACCTCATTGAAGATTTGGAATTTTTGGGCCCATATCCTTTGCCAAGCTTATATTTAGATGTTAAAGCTCTTTCATATGAGATTATCCACTGTTCTAGATGTTGTGAAGCTGTTTCCTGAATTTAGTAGGCCACTCTGTCTAATGACCATTGCAGTTAAGTTTAGAAATAAGCTAGGGGCATTGCCTTGCTAGCTTTTCTTAATAATTCAAAAAAAGTTCAAACTCGAAGAAACTCATGAATTAGAGCTTTTCCTTAATTATTCTTTTACATGGTTACCGCAGAATATTGCCAAAGGCATTGCTCTAGGGAACATTGATCCACTCACAAAGGAACCATTTGAGGTATCCTATCTCCTTTCGGAAAGAATTTGGACTGATCCACATTTATGTGAACTTTATGCTCCCCCTCTTCAAGCACAAATCTAATTTCATTGCACACTACATATGAAATGTGTGCACTTTAAGACAAACAAATTTACACAGGAAACCACAACATAACTACATGAAAATATGGATGAACCAACCAGGAGGGTTTATGGAGATGCAAGAGTATTTTGTTAGGGAGTGTATATGGACCATAGATGGTCACAGTTTCATTTTTTTTTTGGGTTGTTGCACTACATACACTTTTTGTGTCACTTCTTACTGTATACTACTGACATGAACTTAGTTGTCAGGACATGTGAATTACCAATATTTACTTGTAGCCTTTTTTTCTTGATTGCTTTCTTGCAGATCAAACCAGAGTGCAGTGCACCTGCTGTTCATAAGGTTTGTCCAACCAGAGAGCCTATTGCACCTTCAAATGGGAGGAAGAAGCTAGAATTGCCTGTGCAGAAAAATATATTGACCAACTATTTCTGTATCCTCTCAACATATTGCAATTTCAGTCATGAATACGTCACATGAATCAAATTTGCTTACTAATACTGAACTCCTATCAACATATTATATAAAAAAATCACAATAATATAAGTGCCTTGAGCTCAGTATTAAAGTTTTGTGTTCCTAGACATATCTTAGATTATTTAATAACAGCTTATATTTTCCCTCGGTATTTTAGCAGGCAGGGCTGTTGACATAATCTGTAAATTTTTAGTGGCATAATATTCACACCAACTTTGTGATTTGGTTCATTACTTTATTTGAAGACTTGTAAACAATAATCAACTGCCTGTTCCTGTTGGGTTACCCTTGACTTTTTCTAAGGCTTAGCATCCCTTGAGGCAAAACGGGAATTCAGGGCGCCTAAAGTAACACATAAGCAACAAATATTGAATGAATCTTTGCCTAGCCCTCAAACTCAAGGCTCTGGTACCCCTGATTCAGTTGAAGATACTATGTTGCCAACAGATCACATCCAAGCTTCTCAATGTAGTTCTGAGCATTTAAGCTCTGAACCTCCTCAAAATGACCCAATCAGTGTTAGCTCTCAGTGTAGCTCTGAGCGTTTCAGCTGTGAGTACCCCCTCGATGATTCAGCCAATAAATCACCTCAGTGCAGTTCACTTGATGGTGGTAGTGATCCTCCTTACAAGGATACGAGCATTAAAGACAGAAAGGTATTTGGTACTTCCCATCACTTCATCATCTAGACATATCCAATGCTGTCCTGTTCATTAACTCATGTAGTAGCCACATTTCTATCACCCTCAAAGCTTGTTTGTGCCATTCAGGTCGAGGCTGATTACGGCAACGAAAATACAATACCTACAAGTCCTTGCTTAGTGGGTAATACTTCTGATTTGCATAGTTGATTCATGATTCAATCTGCAAACCATGATCTGTATCATTTGGTTATACAAAATCAAAACAATCTTGTCATTGATTCTTAGCTTGTGTGTGTATTCTCTTTTTCTAGGAAATTTGCCCTGGACATCAGAGCCATTTTTACTTCCCCATAACATGGGACCATCTTTACCAGTTCAACATTATACTGAAAGCATTGTGGCCTCTAAAAATAATGACATTACCGCAAGGAGTTCATACTTCAAAACGGTAAATAAGAGAATTTGCACAGATCAAGAAGACCAGTTAGATGATGACTATGATGTTGGTACTGGTAATCTTTCTGGAGATCAACTGAGGAAATCTGGCATGTTGAAGAGAAGAAAGCTTTCTGGCATCCAAAATTTCGAAGATGTATTTTTCTTCTTTTGAATCATGATATAACAACTAGCACCTCATATCACAGTATATAGCTGGTCCTAAATATGCTGTTTATGCAGGAAACTTTACAACCGATTCATTCTGACGATAGTCCACCAGTCGTTGATGAAGGTAACTATCTACCTTTTCTTCTAGTTGATAAAGTCCAATAAGTTAGAGATGCAACCTTGGTGCATCATATCCTGTAACAGTCTTAGGTGCCTTCTTGATCTTCCATGTAGTTTCTTCCTGTATTGTGATATATTTTTTATGTATCAAACTATATTAATTCATTTGTCGAAACTTCTGCAGGTCAAGATACAGATGATCCTGATGATACAAATATAAGAACTGAAAGAAGATTTGGATGCAACGTTTCCCATGTGAATACATACAGTGGAATTGCAGAAAAATCAATGGATAAGTTTGCTGCATTGGTATCATCTTTCAGATACCCTGGTCCCCGTGCCAGCGGCCTTCGTGCTCCTTTAAAGGATGTGAAGAACACACTTTCTGTGAGGTATGCAGCTCTAGAACCTTTTTTCAGAGATTTAAAACTTCTAAGGAAGTTATTAAGTATGATTGGTTTACTTACTGGAGACAGTAAAGTCTTGTTATGAATAAGTATTTATTTTTTATGCCATGGTTATTTCTGCTGCAGATCTATTCTCAAAGCTCCAGAACAAGGCACATTCAGACGCACAGCAAAGAAAACAGGTCTAGGGCCCCCTTCAAAAAGCAGATATACAAGTGATGATAAGGAAAGTGCTGCCAGCCCCCCTGATATTAGCACATTTGCTTATAGGCCTATGAAAACTGCTGCTTCTGATCAAGGCAAAACCACAGGTAAAGCTACAGACACTACTGATGGCCCTGCTGATCTGGGAACGTTTGCATACACATCCGTGGCACCCACTGTCTGCTATCCTGATCAGAGCAAATATGCAGGTACAGCTACGAGAATTGCAGACAGCCCTCCTGATCTGAGCACATTTGCATATAAACCCGTGAAAGCTGCAGTCAGAAATTTGGATGGGAGCAGATTCACAGGGACAACACTGAAAGCAACTCGAGGGCCTTCTAGGAGCCAATTCAAATAGAACCAGTGCCGCACATGTTGGCTCTCCTAATCTGACCTGAAATAGGGGAGGTTCAGCAGCAGCAAATGCTGTGGCAAAAAGAAAATACCCTCTGAATCAGAGCATTTCCATTTCTGAGTAAAAGGAAGCGTCGTTGAAGATAGTTGACAATCAGACCCTGGAGGACCGCGAGTGGCTGCAGAGGTTCCTTTGTTTCAGAGCCCCTCTGTAGTTCATCAATGACTAAAGGGGCCGCTGCTAGTAGCAGGAGCTCTTCATTTCGAGCTCATCTTTTGTACTGCTCATTTGCTTGCCCTGCAGCAGCAGCCCCTATTGTTGCATTGAAGAAAGCAATCTCATTTGCGACTGTATTGAACTGTAGTTAAGATACTACTTGTATGTTCATTCTAGTAAGTATGAGCATGATTCGGACGGCATCATTGAGGTTTCTTGACCATTCCTGAAAGATAAAAGTAGTCATTGAAAAAGAAGAAAAAACAGTTTGTACGGTGTTGTCCCCGCTATAGTTTTGAGTCTACAATTTGTTTATTGTTGCATTCATTCTCAAGGTAGGCAAGCGAACACTCTCTGAATTCTCCAAATCCAAACAAAGCAAAATAAAAAGGTAAAAAGGAGGGATATTATAACAGAAAATATCATTAGAAGAAACAATGAGAACAAAAATTTCAGCTACAATTTGCAGTTGTATTTCTTGTATCCATTGATTTGCCGGTCTTGCGCACGAATCTCAGCGCATCCAGCTGTACCTGCCCCGAATTCTGCTGTTTTTCCTAGCCCTGGGCAAAAAATACCGATAACCGAATCGAAAATACCAAGAACCGAATTGAAAATATCGAAACCGAATTTTTCGGTACCCTATTCGGTTCCTAATTCCCGGGAACCGAAATTCGGGGAACCAAATTTACTGAATTACCTGAAATGTTTTGAGTTTAAGTGTTGTTATATTATTGATGGTACTATTGTAGACTATTATCTCTTAATATGAATCTTGCTTCCAAAAGAGAGGATTCTAATAGGGCCACGTCACCTCATATCTCTCGGCCGTCAGATCCGATGGGCGGGTTTCATCGGCCGTTGAATCGTGCGAATCATGTCACCGTGTCACGTGGACAGGTTGTTCCGGATTCATCGAGGTGGTCACGTGGGCGAGGACAGGTCGCGTGCAACCATCTGGCTTCGAGATTCATCGGTGGGTCTCTTTTTTTAATACCAGGGAAAAAAAATGGCTGCGTGGCATCGCTATCACAAGCCAGCGCATCTGGCTTCAAGATTCATCTGTGGGTCTCTTTTATAAATACCAGAAAAAACGGCGGCGTGGCATCGCTATCACAAGCCAGCGCACTTGCTCTGTACTTCTCAACGCTCCTGTACTCCATCAACCCTAATCATTCCTGCGGAGACCACGGGAAGAATCGCACCTACAAATCAAAGGCACAAATCAAAGGTAGATAACGTTCATCTTCTGCACTCTTATTTGTTTCCTTCCTTTGGTTGATCTGACTAATTCTGGCTATAGGTATTTTCTATATAGTTGTTCACTATACATGTAGATACTTTCGTATACATATATGTGTAAATATGGTTCGAACAACGAGAAAGCAACAACCACTAGAAACTATAAATAATCCATCTATGGTTCGAACAAAGAGAAAGCAACAACCACTAGAAACTATAAATAATCCATCTATGGTTCGAACAAAGAGAAAGCAACAACCACTAGAAACTATAAATAATCCATCTAATAGTAAGAATGCAAGACAATCAAGATACGGAAAGCTATGCGAAAAAAAACGTAAACTAGAACCAGAACATAACTCAAACAGAGAAAAATTAATTAAAAAGCAATGCCTACATATTGAGGCTGCACATCCATATTTATACTCTTCTCATGGAATGGTATCATTTACACCAGAATATATACAACATCTAAAACAATCATATATAGAACGATCATATCATGGTGCACCAAACTACACGTGTAAATATTGTGATGCTATGTTCTGGTATGATGAAAGAAATAAGACAGACTCTAAAAAAAAGAAACAGATTCTATATTCTAATTGCTGCAAATATGGAGAGATCAAAATACCACGATATAATGAACCACCTCAATTCCTTTCCATGCTCATTCACCATAGAGGAAATAATCTATCCAATCATTTTTATCAAAAGATAAGACAATGTAACAGTATGTTTGCTTTTACTTCTATGGGTGGCAATATTGACAAAACTATAAACAAAGGTGAAGGTCCATATGTATTCCGTTTAAATGGGCAGATACACCATCGTATTGGTTCACTACTACCTGAAACAGACAATACTAGGCCGAAATTTGCAGAGTTATATATTTTTGACACACAAAATGAAATCCAAAATAGAATCGAAGCAATAACTAGAGAAGATCCTGATGATAATGATATCAATCCATATATAGTTCAAGAGCTTAAAAATATGCTTGATCAATACAATCCATTAGTTAAAAAATTTCGACAAGCACGTGATTTACTTGAACAGTATAAAGGTATAGATATCAGTGTACGGATTGTCGGTGCTAAAAAAGGTGATCCAATTCAATATGAAATGCCACACTCTGAAGAATTAGCTATGCTTATAGTCGGTGACCTATCATTAGAAAATTATAAAAGAGATATTATAATCAACAGTACACACAAAGGCCTTCAACGTATCTCTATTTATCATCCTGCCTATATGGCATTACAATACCCCTTGCTATTTCCATACGGGGAAAGAGGATTCCAACTAGGTATACCTTACCAAAATCAACATGGAAATCAAAGAAAAAAGAGAAAAAGATCAAGTGTTACAATACATGAGTACTACAAATATCATATGCATTTCAGATCTAACCAACCAAATCCATTCCTATGCTATGGCAGACTATCAAAACAAGCAATAGTAGATGCACGTGCAATGGAAGACGAAGATAGATTAATGTATATTGCTAAAAACCAAGATAAATTAAGAGTTGAATATTTACATATATGATGCAGTAGAAAAAGGACTAACCAACAGCGACCAAATAGGCAAAAGAGTATTTTTACCATCAAGTCATACTGGGTCAAGACGTTACATGATCCAAAATTATCATGATGGAATTGCAATATCCCGTGTGTATGGACCTCCTGATCTATTTATAACATTTACATGCAACCCTAAGTGGCCTGAAATCAGTGTAGCTCTCTTAGAACATCAATACGCTAATGATAGACCAGATATTATAATACGTGTCTTTCATATGAAACTGCAACAACTACTAGAAGATATACGATCAGGTACAATATTTGGTCCAGTAGTAGCAATTTTATACTCTATAGAGTTTCAGAAAAGGGGTTTACCACATGTCCATATCTTAACATGGATAGATAAATCCAATAATCAAGTTACACCTGAAACAATAGATCTGTGGATATCTGCTGAAATACCAGAACCAAAAGAAGATCCTTTAGCATATGTCTTAGTATCTGAACATATGATGCATGGACCATGTGGAGAAAAAAATGAAAAAAACCCATGTATGAAAAAAGGAAAATGTTCAAAATATTATCCAAAACAATTCCAAGATGAAACTACATTTACAGATAATGGATTTACTCAATATCGTCGAGGAGACAGCAATATCTATATCCGTCGAGACAATCATAATTTAGATAACAGATGGGATGTCCCACATAATTTAAAACTACTAAAGAAATATCAAGCTCATATAAATGTTGAATATGTTAATAAAAGTAGATTATTAAAATACCTCTGCAAATATGTCAACAAAGGACCAGATAAAGCAACAGTTATTTTGGAGCCTCTAAAGAAAGAAGATCCTACACAAAATAAAAACACTAAAGACATTGACGAGATAAAAGAATATTTAGATTGTAGATACATATGTGAGCAAGATGCTTTATGGAGATTACTAGGTTTTGACATACATTATCATTGGCCTCCTGTAGAGCGATTGCCTGTGCACTTACCTTTGCTAAACACAATTAGACTACACAAGAATACAAAGTTACAGCATATAACGAAAGATCCCAAATTTCATAAAACAAAATTAACTGAATGGTTTGAGACTAATAAATTACATGAAGATGCTAGGGAACTAACATACTGTGATTTTCCTCGCTTTTGGAAATGGGATGATAAAAACAGAAAATGGACAAAAAGAAAACATGGTTTCAAAATTGGCCGATTATACTATGTCAACCCTATAGAAGGAGAACGCTTTTATTTACGCATATTACTAATGATAGTTACAGGAGCTACCGGTTACAAAGATATAAGAACATATAAGGGAACTGTTTACCAAACATTTAAAGAAGTATGTGCTGCACGGGGCTTACTAAAAGATGATAACGAATGGTATAAAACTTTTTTGACAAAGCAACAAATTGGGCTACATCTCTACAGCTTCGCTACCTATTTACAACGATACTTCTCTTTTGTGACTTACAAGATGAAAATAGATTTTATACTCAAAACTGGAGAAAAATGGTAGATGACATTGAACGTGATATAATTACTAAATATTACCCAATACAATATCACCCTACAGATTTAGAACTTCATGATGCACTACTACAAGAATTAGAACAAATATTAATAAAAAATAGTTTCAATATTCATTCATATAATCTTCCAAAAGTATCTTTACAATATAGACCTGACAAAAGTAACCAACTCATTGACGAAGAATTAAATTATCATATAGATATGTTGGATGAGCAAGCAAATAGACTTTACATGCAATTAAATACTGAACAAAAAAATGCATACCAACAAATAATTAGTAGTGTTTTAAAGAAGGAACCAAATATATTCTTTGTATACGGACATGGAGGAGGCGGCAAAACATTTCGTGGAACACAATTGTTTGTTATCTACGAGCATGAAAAAAAAATTGTACTAACTGTTGCATCATCGGGAGTTGCGTCATTGTTACTTCCAAATGGACGTACCGCACATTCACGGTTTCGCATACCAATAGA